AATACGGCATCCATGCGAAAAAAATGAATACATGCTTAATGGTCTCAAGTTGCTTGCATGAAAAAAAAAGCGTCCACGGCACCATAAAAACCCTTTCCCTAATCCACACCTTGACCGGCAACGTATTGGTAAGTAACTTAAAAAAGAACGTTTTCACCGAAGGTGGTACACATATGCGCTTAACTCGGCTCAGCACATCTTGTCCGCTATGACAAAAAACAGTTCGATGCATGGGCGTCAGAAAACACGTGATTATCAAATCGCGCACGAGCGGTTTCTTGCACACTAAAGACAAATAATCAAAAGAAAAACGAGCAGTCGAAAACAATACAGCATCAACGACCTCCTTCTGAAAACCCACGAGTTTTGTTGGCTCGCCGCCATAAGAGAAAAACAAGAAAGGATGAGGCGACAATTTTGTTCAGATGAACGTGGGGATAAAGGGGTGCTCATGCTCTCGCAAAAAAAAAAAAAAAAAAAAAAAAAAAAAACATGGCACGAGTTGTTTGACAAATAAACGGGACAGCCCAACCCCTCCGTGACGTACCCTGTGAAGGAGGTTGTCTCGCCTTATGCGTTCGCCATTCGATCTCAAGATGAACACAGCAAAAGCACGGCGAAACTTATGAGCATTAACACGGCCACAATATATGGACATCTTGTAAACCCTGAGATGGGGAACGATAAAAAAAACGGACGAACACAACAAAATCTTGTTGATTTAGTTGTGTTCGTCCGTTTTGTTTTTTTTTTTTTTGTTTTTTTTTATCGTTCTCCTTTTTAGGGTTTACAAGATGTCGATTAATTCCCAGCTCGCCTGCACTCTCTCACTGCTCACAATATATGGCTTGCAATACATACCAAACCTTTGAAATCATTAAAATATTGCAAACTGTCGGCATAGCAAAGATGCACACATCACGACTTTTTCAAACGAGAAGCGCGGCTGTCCGGGACGGTGGCGAACCCCGACCAAAAGGATTTGCTCTCGCGGTACGAATTGAAAGGCACACCGAGGTATGCGCAGGGCACGCAGTCCCAGCTAACGCCTTCGTGCTCTGAAGGCTTTGTGGCACATGCGCCGTGCCAAAAACCACTGCACTTGCCCCTATTAATAGCTACGCCGGTAGCTTCACAGAAAGATTTCGGCAAAGCAACCTTGGCACTGACACTTCGCTTATCACTGGAAAACACTGCTTTCGCGTTCCACTCTTGAAGGCGAAGCCCTTAAGCGTCCTCCGAGTTTTCTTTACATTTCACAAATTTTTAAATCGTAATACACGCCAAAACAGCCCAAACAAATTTCTAATGATTTTGTGAAAAAGAAAAAAAAAACAGTAGGTATAGATTTTCGATGCCCAAAACCAATTTTTTTTAAATTTCTTTCTTTTGACCTCAGAGGTTTCATGTATTCATACTGTCAATAAATGAATGCACTACTTCGAAAACCTCTGCTGTAAATCCCAGCGCGATAATCCCAACGTGGAAACACGTAAAAATGCTCAGATTGACGTCAAATATTTCAGGGAGGTTCCTGTAAACAAAATAAAATAATGTATCTGAAAAGAAAATTTTGTACATTTCGGTCTTGGTGGTAATTGAACCCAGGGCTATGGGGTACGAGACGGCCATGCTTCCCCGACACAACGGCGGCTCCACTATTCTGGCTGACTCAAGGTGCGCCTAGAACGTGTCAAACGGAAGCGTTTCACCAATGCCTTCGAATTTCCACACGCAATCAGTCTTAATTGTATCTGACGCATTTTGGGTGCAATGAAGAGGGGAACAGCGATATTAAGAGGTTGTGGATGATATCTTGTTGTGTGCGCTTGTTAGTTCTCCGCTAGAAAACGTCGTGAGTTGTAAAAACGTAAAACCGGAATTGATATTTTCAACAGCAAGATCAACGGAAGTAATTTCGCCGTTCTTAGATGTTAAACCAATCAAGGAAGGAGGCCTCGGCTGGGAGTATGGGAAACTCAGTCGAAGCTACCGTTGTGCTTTACAAGTTGCCACGCCAAATCACTGAAGAAGGGAGTTGTGATGTCCGGGTTGCACAATACTTCGAGGAAATTGCGTGGGGATTGTGTAAATTCGGCATCGGGAAGTTATATTTAAAGTTAAGTATAGCGGCGAATAATTACGCATTTATGTCAAATATATTTTGGAAGCTAAGCTTTCCTCTTAGTGGGCCACAGACAAGCACTAATCCACTGGAGAACGTCGTCGAATTATGTCCTTTTTAAAGCGGTTTCCCACAACATGAAGGTAGTTGCGGAGCCGTTTGACGTATGAGTGGACTTTAATCTAAATTACAAGCTAAGCACGCTGACGATATTCACGGCAGAAAATCGAAGATGTGTAAAAGAGCCCAAGGAAGGAAAAGTAAAGTGCGAGGGGGGGTGGTCGAGAATATTTCCTTGGAGAGTGGGCGTTCGTAGGGGGGACAGACTAAGCGATGCATTAACATTTTGGCATCTCAGCATGAAAAAGCGGTAACATCAAGCTTCCAAAATCGAAAAAGAGCAAAACGTTTCAAAGTATTCAATGGTCGTGTCTTGGTGTGAAAGCAATTGAAAGTCGTAGTGAACGGAAATGACAATGCGAAAATAGTTCTGTTTGAAACCACTATAATACACAGTAAGCCAAATTGTATTAGCGATCCGTGAACCGTTCTTTACCAATCAACGATTTTATATTTAAGTTGCGATAGCGGTCCAGTGTTTCTGTTTTCTCTTTCTTCAACTTCCTAAATCTTATGTTCCTTGATGTATTTAGCCTATGTTGCAATATAATTATTTCATTTAAGATACTGTTATAGTTGTATGTGTGCCTCGTTTTCTCAAGTGGTTTCTAACGAACAACAGATAAGCCTGTTGTTCGTAAGAAACCAAGGCTTACGGGGACACTGTGCAATACACAGTAGGTGAGCATATGACGGTTGCGATGGGATTAAACTAAACCAGTCAGTCGGCACTGTTGGTACATTTCAAGGTTGTGAACGGGGAAGGCTGTGGGGATGTAATTTGGGTGTAACCTGTTGTGATAACGTCTGGCTTCCTACGTCTTAAGGTCGGTAGTGTCTCGACTTCATAAACAAGAACATGAAAATAAACGTAGCAGTAGTGTTTTGAGACCTGCGTGTGTGTGTTCTCGACGTTTATTTTTCCTAGTGTCGAGTGTTCAATAATATTTTAGAAGTGTTAAATTGCTTTGCCACCTATCGGAGGACAGCGCGGCAGGTATTGGTCACGAGCCCCAGCGTCTGCCTTAAGTTGGGAGTCGTGTTCACACTGACCGAACACGAGTCTCAGTCGAACACTAACGCAGCACACGTGGTTTATGTTACGTGATTATGGTCCAGATATTTGTAGAAACCAAAGCATAAAGGAATGAAAAACACCTGTTGTCCGAACGTGAATATAAACTTAAAACGTCTACGCCGAGAAGCCTCTGGTAAATTAAAACAGAAATATTCATAAACGAATACCGCTATGAAGCTATTTACCAGAAGAAAGCGCAGTTTTCTGAAGTTTTCATTTATTTTTTACATATTGCGATATTCTCCAGCATTACCACTCAGTGACGTTCATGAAACCCGCATGAACGAATCGCTCCACTTTAATTTCCAGCTTCTCTAAGATCTTTAGCAAGCAGACTGGGAAGCTTATCCAAGCGATGGAAGAAAAAACGAGCTTCCAGCACGACGTCAGACAATAATATCGGACATAAAACAAATCGCATCGGAGTTAAAAAACAGTTTTCTAAAACTCTTGGCCGAATTATCTTGTCGGAGCTGGTATTTAGCGCAAACCACTTCACGTTTCGAAGGCTTAGACTGTATCCGTTCATCCAACCATTCATCGTTAGCAATAAAACACACATCATGCGGCTCCTGTTTAGCGCTATATTTATGTTTAAAGCGTATAATTACTTGAGATTTTTTGTGATATTGTTACTTAGTAGAATTCAAATTCTATAAATTGTTCTAGAGCCTATTATGAATATAACTTAACCTTATCACATTGCCCACCGGCCTTAACCGTCGTATTCAGTAAAGCTATTTCTCTCGTTGATTTCAAGGAAGAATAACAGCAAATTCCCAATTTAGATTAAACTAAAAGAATTATTGCATATATATATATATATATATTTGTTGCATTTCTCGCCAGTTTAATTTATTTCTTCCGAAGGATACATAATATATCTTAAGAAGAGAACGAAGTTAAATATATACCAATATATATTTTTGCAGTCTTCTTTAGATCATTGATGCTTCTAAATGTATTAAACACTATCAACATTCTTGCTGGCAGCAGTTTAGATGTTTTCAAAAATCAGTGTGCATAAAAGTTCATATCAACAATTTATTACGCGAGATTTTGAGGATAAATATTGAGCGATAACCAGGGAACAATATTCGTGTGATTAATCTGAACGGATCCAGTCAGGACAATTACGCTTTACTACACTTTGATCAAATATAAACAAAGTTTAACGAAAATGTTTGACTATTTTTTTTGCCTAGAGACTCTACGTCATCGGCAAGGCATACAACTTAGGATTCCCTTCCCAGGGAACACAGGCATTGTTATTATACGCACATGCTGGCTGATATCGTTCGTCATGTACATCGAAAAAAAGATTTATAACTTTTTAATCTTTATTTTTATTGTGAAGCTTTTTTTATTATCCTTCAAAATGTTTTCCCTAAAAAAAATTAAAAAAGTAGAATGACTTTAGCAGGTGGGATTAAATACCTGCAGCGTGTGACGCAAACATTATTTTCACTTTTACAGATTGTCAGCGTGATATTCAATTGTTGTAAATATTTCCAAGTCACAGACTTCTAGAACAGAGCGTGTGAAGGGCATTGTCCCTCTGTATGAAGTAAAAAACACAAAAGAAACTATAAATCTTTGACTTTTCCTTTGCGGGTGGATCCCTATAAATACACACTCAGAAATCGCTAACCACATCTTCGGCATCTACCGTCCAAGATGAAGGCAACCATTGCATCCCTTTGCTTCCTAGCTTCAGCAGTGTGCGTCATTGCGCTGCTGCCTAGTAAGTCTCTTGCCCAATTTTTTTTGCATTATTTATGAACTTTGTATTCTAATATATAGTTTGCTCGAGCTTGCCATCGCCATCCCAGTTGTCAGGCTTTTCTATCACGCGTCATATTTGATTAAAATTCACATTAATAACGATTAAATGTCTTATGCCTCGGCCAAATGCTGGCTGATCAAAATTGTGCTTCACAAAATAGTCTTCGTCTTTAGTTGCATAGACCTCTCGTATAAAAAAAGTGAGGAGTTCTTGAGGGCATGGGTATGTATGTATGTATATATATATATATATATATATATATAATTCAATAATCACCTTCTCCCCTCTTCGTTCGCAATATTACTACGGCTGCTGTTGTCAATCTTCACTCATTCCCATTGTATATATCAGGCACGTAGCCAGGGGGGTGGCCCATGGGGCCCGGGCCTCTCCCCCGAAAGCTTCCATTTTGCTGGGACCTCCTCTCCCCCGTCCCCCTTATGCAGCATTTTGTCATGGGCCCCCCCCCCCCCCCCCCCCCAAAACAAAAGCCTGGCTACGTGCCTGATATATATATATTTATATATATTGTTTGCCTGGTTTATTTGGACCATTCCCTAAAGAATTATCCCTCCTCCCCGTTTCATCATCCATGATGGCAGCGTAAATCTCAAGGAGACCCTGCATTTAAAAGTTTTGATTGCAGGTACATTAAATTGCCTATTAAAAAAGGAAAAAAACTATTAGAATACTCGTTCATGTTTTCGTAGATTAATGTGAATTTTAATTCAATCTTCACTTGAATACTGCTATTACACACCCGGACATTCCTTTTTTAAAGGTAATATCGGCGTGAAATTTCGAGGCAGTGTTCAGTTTTTTACCATATATTACTGAGAGGCTTGGGTAAAGGTTCTTCATCTGGTATCTTTTATCAGCAACAGTGACGAGTCTTACATTTCTACCTAAATATAAAACTTGGTGGAAAAGTGATCATCCGTAATTGTTTCTATATTAAAGATGTGTATATAATGATTTAATTAATCTTTGATGCTTTATCGAACCTTTCTGCAGAGAGTGTCTGCAGGGCACCCCATGCTATCTCATCTTGCGCCGGGACTGCTAAAACAATGTGGTACTTTGACAAGAACTCCAACAAATGCGTGTCATACACCGGATGTGGTAAGGGTTATAACGACTTCGGATCCGAAGAGGGCTGCAAAGATTCGTGCCCATACGGTAAGTTTTTTTTTTTTTTTTTTTTTTGTTTTTCAAAGCGGGTAACAAACGAAACCGATATTCCGTGATGGAGCTTTACGGTGTGTGACGCAGCAAACAAAATCCACGCTTACGCGAATTTTAAAACACTTCCTTACGCTTCCTGTCAACAAAATGGCTATTAGCGCCTAGATGTCTCGGTGGCGCCTTCTTGTGGCTTCCATCCGTGACATCACGTCCAGCCGTGCCTAGCCGTGACGTCACTAGATGCGATCCAGGCTACGTGCCATCACTTCAGACGAAAGGTTTGATTGTGTGTAATAAAGCCCATGTGAAGTTAGGAGCTCTCGCATTCTCAAAGAAATACTGTCAAAGTTCACATTATGACACTGCCATTTATGTCCGTGGTTTGGGCAATCATGAAAAGCCGATCACAGTGACGCTTTCGGTCGAGCACGTTGCTAATAATAGGTGAAGATTGAGTGCAGTCTTGAAACTCATAACCACTTTATTAGGTTGTAAATGTTTGCCATCTCAGTATAAGACTACCTTATTAGTGTTCTACGAAACGCTAGTAATGCACTTATATATTGGGAGAGAGAAACCTTAAAAACAAGATATTTATATTTTTAACTGTTTATATCATAAATCATAAATCAAACACTGATTATCACAAATATTGTTTAAGACCTAACGTTAAAAATGTTCTTGCTACAACTCTTGAAGTGCGCCTAAACTCAAATTATCTAATCAGTATAGGGTACCAAACGTTGAACTCCGCGACTCATAAGAAGTCTACAATGGCTACCAACTCCGACCGGCATCTTTTAACAAAAGATTGTGAGGTTAATTAAGTGGTTGCACAGATAAGCCGCCTTATAATTCTGGTTGATTTGTATTAAATTAATTGAAGCGAAGAAAGCAGAACCGTAATAAAGATTAAACATAGTTTTACGCTTAATCCAAGTTGTTTTCTATAAGAGGAAATCACAAGTCCAAGCCCCCAAGGCCCTCAAAGCATACTCGCCAATGATTCGGTAACACTCACCTATCAATGTCGCGAGCTAAACAAAACCATATCTGCCAGACGAGGGGCTATGTCATCTGTTTATTGTGCACTCTTTCATTCAATATAAATGTTTTTCAGTCAAGTGTGTGCATTTATGCTATAGTCACACTTATATAGATAGTCATTTGCCCATCAATGTCCAATAAAACAAAAATATCGGCGAGCATATGTTTTAATCTCGGATAATTTACGTTACACGAGGCATTACGATTGGCACAGGCAACTGCGAGCTGATATTATTCCAAGTTCAATTTACGTAATCGCTCGGTAAAGTTATCTGATGCTATTCTCATAGTTTGTATTTCTCAGTTTTAGGTTTTAAACTGTGTCATATGACAATCAGCTTACTTGCATTATTTCCTCTTGTAGTTCTAATCTACCATATTTAACAGTCATATTAACAGAGGTTATAGCTGAACGTCTAGTATCGGTGTACTCGTGGAGTATTCACCCTCTGCGCAGCCTAATTTAGGAAATATTAAAACTCTATTAATCTTCAAATCCGCGCTCTTCATAGCGTTGTACACGTATGTCGCGAAACTTAATTACATTTCCCCTTTCAGGGTCAAGCTAAACGCCCAGTCGCTGACTCAGGAGAACGTGGTTGATCTAGCGGCAGTAACACCCGACGAAGCGCTTAAACTTAATAAAATAGAGCATTAAACAAGTGTTGTTTTTTTCTTTGTTGTTCATTCTCTAATTTGTTTGACGAGTGTCTTTCAAATATATCCATTGCTATGATATCTAGCGGTTTCTCCAGTTTTTTCTATAGGCTCCACAAAAAACTGTTGATTTAAAAAAAAAAACCAGTCTCAACATATTCGTTAATATAAAAATAAACTTTGGACCTCGTTCAATAGATCGAGACACACATCGTTTCTTGAAAGAGCTACAAAAGAACAAAAATATAATATTTATATTTTGGAAATCTAATATTATGTAAGGAATATTTTCGAAACATCTAAACTGTCGAGTGGTGCTGACGAAATTCCACTTTTTATTATTAAAGGCTGCGGTGGGCTGATAGCCCCCGTACTAGCCCATATCTTTAACGTGTCATTGCATTCCAGTATATTTCTCGCGATATGGAAGGAAGCGATTGTTGTGCCCATTCATAAAGAAGGCGATGCCTGCATTGTGTCAAATAACCGACCTGTGTCACTTTTGTGCGGTTTTGCTAAAATATTTGAAACAATCGTGCAACAATGTCTTTTTTCCCATTTATCAAAGTCTTACACATCAACAGCACGACTTCATTAGAGGACGTTCCGTTGAAACTAACCTTTGTACATTTCTTCATTACGCAGCCCCGGTCGTTTCGAAAAGCGATCAGATTGACTCGATTTATTTCGATCTTTCAAAGGCTTTTGATAGGGTTGATCATTTTTTGCTTGTACAAAATTGGAACAATATGGTATTATACCTAAGCTTTGTGATCGGGTTTCTAGTTATTTCTCATCGAGAAGAAACTTTGTTCCTGTTGATAATGTTTTATCAAGTGCGTTCTCTCCAACTTCAGGAGTACCCCAGGAGTCAGTAGTGGGGCGATTGCTATTCCTAGTATTCATTAATGATATTTCAAGTGTATTACATCTGGCAGGATGCTTTTATTTGCTGATGATATAAAGTTATTTTCACATATTCATTCCGAAAAAGACTGTGAAGCGCTACAATCTGATGTGTCGAGCATTTCTAGGTGGTGCCTGTTAAACCGCTTGCCTTGGAACGCCAACAAAACTAAGGGAATCTCACTAACCAAGACGCAGTAATTCCTTACACTTTAAATACAAGTTGGGCAATTGTACTTTTGCTCGATCTGATGTAGTCAGGACCTTGGAGTGCTAGTAGACTGTAAACTATTGCTCAAAGCTCATGTCACTAACATTTGTGGTACCGGTCCTAAAGTGCTCGGCATGATATCACGTTTGACTCGACACTTCCAGGCACCTGATCCTTTATTACGCTTATTTCGTGCTTTGGTTAGGCCACGACTTGAATTTGCGTCTGTTGTGTGGAACTTTCTATCACATAGCGATTGCAGACGTATTGAAATGGTACAAATGCGTCTGATGCGCATAGTCTACGATAGGCATTTTAACAGGAGACTCTATTTCGAGTATAATTTTCTTGTTAAACTTTTAAACCTCAGAACCCTAATTGACCGCAGGCATTGCCGAGATGTGGTGTTTTTGCAGAAACTCATACCAGGTCGTTTTTATGTACCATATCTTTTGAGTAGTACAAGCTTACGTGTGCCAGCTAAACACACGCGACTCTGCGATATGCTTTATCCTGACAAGCAGACTGAAGGGTCACCAATGCCTAGAATTCAACTTTTTTGTAATAGCCTGTGCAGCATGAATTCCTTTCCATGTCTTATATTACTTTGAATACCGAGTTGTGTCTGTAATTTGTTTTATTATGACTTATGTGTCACACCTGTATTTCACATCTTTGCATGTTCAACTCATTGTGACTTTTATGTGCACCAATACCAAAGACTTCACGGTGTTTTGAGCACGCAATAATTGCCAATACCAATACTAATCGGTTTAATTGTTGCGAGGGATGTCAGATTTCAAGAGCTGATGGAAGCATGTGACTACGGCAGTATCCGAGAACGTACAGGGCAACGAGCATATTTTTATCCCCTGCTTTAATGATAAATTTAATAGCTACGCCACGGATTGGTATTCGATAAATAATTACACCGATTGCGGGCGGAGCCGGAACGAAAGAAATAAAGCTAATAAAAATTTACACTAGCTAGATCACGCTTACAAATACCGGAAACCGCAGAATGTGTAGAGCTGCTATGCTTGAAGTGATTGCTGCCTGTGTGTGATGCCGCTAGCGCAACCGCGAACTTCGTGCGTATTCTACACTCTTAGAAAAAAGGGTATTGATAGTCCTCCCTAAAACCAGAAATGGTCTTGTAACCTATGTTCCTTTAGAAAGGGAGAAACTTTCATCCCTGAAGCAGGGGTACAAAGTTCCTCCGTCGCCTGCATCTCATTATGCCGACCCCGAATCAAACAAATGGAGCTCAGTAAGGCTTACCGAGGATGCTACGTCTCTTGTACGGGACGAGAGGAGCAGCAAATAAAAGCGTACAATGAGCTTTCCGCGAGCTGTGTTTATTTCCGAAGCCAGCTTCCCCCGTAGGTAAAGAAACTTGCGTTTCGAAAGCAGTTACTCAGTCTTCTCGTCGTCAGCACTGCAATGTTAAACGGAGACAATTGATACCCAGTTACTTCGCGCACTTAACTTCTTACCTTTGCTATTCCTCGAGTCATAATTCCTTCGTCAACCGCACGTCGCGGAGGAATGCTAAACCAATTCGCGAAACCAAAAGCCGCTCTCAAAGGAACAAACTCGAAGCCGCTGTTGCATGGTAACCAGAAATAATCGCGTAGCGTGAAAGAAGGTTAAATCACTTGCCACGAGTTGGCGGGGTCAAGCAGAGTAATTTCAAGTGGCTAGCTACCGCCCAATTCATGTTCTACAAAAAATATTTTCATTTTCTCACGCCACCATTGCCCCTTCGGGAACCTTTATTATACACACATGTAGACACATTACGTATGCTACAAGCATCAATGAAACTACACATTGAGCGTGTAGCAGAGCCAAGATTTGCCTTGCCACAACCACACGGGTTGTAGAAAACACCCGAGTGAATGTTCTATCACGATCAATATGAGTGCGAACACCACTCCGCGTGGCCCGCGCAGAGCCGTATATGGGGAGAGTTTGGTCAGTCTATGATCTCACCGCCGTAACGCTCTCCTCCCAAGTGAGCCAATCAGCACGCGGCGTAAAGCGAGAGGCATGAGCGCATGCGCGTGAACTCCCGGCCGCTCCCACCTGAGTGGTGAGGGCCGCCATCTTTGATCATTCTCCCGGCGGAATGCGATGAATCGGCATCTAAATCTCGATTATTGCCTTTTATATCGCTGGCTCTGGCAAGAAAATGACATTCTGTTATTCCTCGGTGTGTTAAAAAGCTAATAAATGAAGATTTTTCGGCGTACGGCCACAAACTTTTATTCAGGCGAAAAAAAAGTCGGCCCGTAGCAGACGACGCGTAGCCTCAGCAGTGCTCTTCTCCGACCAGTCTCCGACAGCGTTGCTAAAAAATGGCGGTCGTCTCCTTTCTGCTCCCTTCTTTCTCTCTCGCTCTTTCGGCGCTCTCCTCCTTTTCATTTACTTTTCTCGTCTCCGGCGCCTTCGTCGCCACACCCACTGGCCGAATTCTCCCAATATACGGCTCTGGGGTCGCGGTACTATCAGTGCCCCCTGGCGATCGGTCTTCGAAGTATAAGTGCACATTGCGGTCGAGACTTATCGTCTCTACCGATCGCCGCATTACTTAGCACTTCCGGGTCATCTGCTAGCGAAAGACGGCCGGCGAAACCGCGAAGCTGTTCACCAATGACGAAGCGCATTTTTCGCTATCAACGTGCGCCAGCAGAAATAACATGTATAAATATTTTTAGGGTCATCTATTTGATTAGGGTGTATTAGTAGATTATCCCAGTTACTCCGATAACAATATCCGATGCTTCTCCGATGCCTATACGATGTAAACCGCCCGTACGCGGACCTGCTTTGGCGCCACTTCGGGAAACGACAACGGTTCAGCGGTGAGCTTGTGTTGATATCGGAAACTCCTGGTTTGCGTTCTACGACCCGAAGACTGCCAGGCACAACCACCGTGGATACAACCTTAGTTTGCTGCGATAAGTATATCTCGGTGTTTCAAATTAACCAAAGCAGAGTGTAGCGCTACAGCTTGTTGTCTAAACATGTTTACACGAAGTAAAATATTTATGCTTTCAGAAATGCTACCGTGTGGGTTTGGAGTTCGTTCGATTGATGCCGTGTAACACTTGTACCGTTCTCAAACTGCATTTTGTTGAGGAATGCTAAACAGTGCTTTCCCAAACTCTGCGCAATCGCAGCAGCCCTCGGTGCAGCACCCAGGCATTATCGCTTGATCCCGTTGATCCACATGGAAAATTTGCACGTCAAAAGATCCCCAGGTGGTCGAAATTAATCCTCAGTCCTCCGCTGGGACGTGCCAGATGCCCGTCGTAGGTTTGGCACGTAAAACTCCCAAATTTGACTTCACATGGAAAATAACCGCTCCCAAATTCAAATTCACCGGAACTGAAAATGCCGGAAAACACCTAAGTAAGCGGCGCCCGTATAGACCATTCCATTTAGCGCTTTCTGGGCGGCACCATTTTGTTCGACAGCAGCGCCCTCTCCATACATCCGGGAAATTCAGCGGGTTCGGCGGTGTAGAACAAGAGAGCGGGCACGCACCCGACTCCACTAGCAGATGACAAACCGGGAGGTTGCCATTCTCCTTCTTTGGGCTGTATCGGCGGGCTGTACGGAACAGCGAACTCTCGCTTGAGGCTGCCGTCGTGAAGTGATTCGCGTTCTTAGAATGGTTATGGCTACTCCGAAATCAGCCTAGCGCTCTCTGTTGTTCTATTTCAGTAAATGATCAACTAGCATATCTTTTTTCCGTTACTTAAATGGCAGTTGAGTCAGCCGGCAGGTACTACCCTCAACTACTGCGTGTGTTGCGGCAGGAAAGCACGTTTTTATTTATTATTTCAGACTTCCACTCATGGTCGCTAAAGGCCTAC